TTACATTTTGTAAACGTGTATGGGAAGCTTTAGAATTTGAAGCAAATTACATGTTTGAATACAATATTTGTAACTTTTAGCGCTTAAATGAATTTAAATCGTTGAAAATGCATAAAGAATTTTTAACCCTTTAGTTAACTTTGTTTTTTGATAGATAGTATTGTGACATTCGTTTAGTTGATATTTTTATTATTCCATTAATTAAATGCATGAAATATTGCCATTTCATGTATTAAAGGTGCTAAGCCGTGCTATTAGTATACGAAGTCCAATTTAATCTTCAAATTTTTAATGAATTAAACTTCAGCCTCGCCTCTTTGTACGAAAAAAACATTTAACTAAGCTATTTTTGATCGCTTTTGCGGGAATTTCTTAAATTTTATTAACATTTACTTATAGTTAGAATTCATATATTAGTTTGAAATCTTCAGATGCCTTTAAATTTTGTTTGAACCTTTCAAAGTATATCGCACGTTCTACATCCACTCTTTATCAAATAGAAAGGTTTATTACCTGCCCAACGTACCTGATGGTTTCTTCCTATCTGATTACTTATTGCATAAATAACAAGTATTAATATTACTCAGTTGTAGAAAATAAACTCTTAATGTATCGGTTGTTTATAAAATCTGAATTTTAATATCATGTACATATAAAAAATCACAGTTAAACTGAGAAAAAGAAACTGAATACTGACTATTTTCTGAATAGAAAAGTGCTTTTAAAATTATGTAATTAAAATAATTTTAAAAATGCAAGACGGTAGAAAATTTTGTTGATTTTTTAATAAAATTTAAGAATTTTTAAACACTGACAATTTATGTTGTGCACATGTTTTTCAAAAATCAAGTTTTTAAATGTTAGCTATACATTTCATGTAAATTCCGTTCCACCGTTTTTTTAAATTGCAACAGAATGAGAGGGGCTTCTAATACAATTGTCTCCAATAGGATATCATAAAGAGATATGTATAAAAAACATTCACTTATTTTTTTTTTAAATTTAACATAATCATTAAATCTACATAGTCCTAACTGCATTGTTGAAAATAAAATTGAAACTTCCAAGATTAACCATATTTCTGCCTTCGAAATTTTATTTATAGCTTATTTTGTTCTTATTTTTACAGTCGATACTGAAGCAATTATGTTGTCCACAGTTATATGCTGTGGAGCTATGTTTAAAATTATATTTAAATTTTATGATAGTGAAGATCGATTTTTTTCCTCCCTTATTTTGACATGATTACCAAAAAAACTGCCTTTTAATCAGATTTACCGACTTAAATTATTAAGAGTAATTTGTAAAAATTTTTATACTGAAATGATGAAATATACTTAAAATTCCTATGGAATTAAAGTCCATCATGAAATGTGACATACATAATAAATTTCATAGTGATGGTATGTGTAAAAAGAAAATTAGTTTTAAATTGCACAAAGTAAATCAAAATAAATTTTTAAAAGGACTTGTATGTAGCTTTCTTAAAAAAAAAAGCCTGAAAATGCTATAAATGGATTTTTCATTAATCTACCATACCAAATATGATAGATTAATATGAACTTTTGCGTAAAAGGCCTAATTTAGCAAATCAGAAGCGTCAATGCATGCTGATTGAATGAAATGACGCCATTAGTAGTTTGCTGCATTACCTTAAAGTGAAATGTATCTTATTGTTTGAATCTCTAAGTGTCTGTTGTTTTCAAAAGTGCTTTCATTGACACTGCATTTACTGTTACTAATGTATGTAAAGTAATTATTATTTTTGATCGATACTTCAAATGTAAATCTTGTACTGCGTCCACTGTCTTCTTAGTCTTGTATTGTACTTCTTATTCAACTGGAATGATTACCTAAATATAAATATATTGGTATAACTTTTCGACAGAGTCTTATGTGATACTGAACTTTATTGTAAACTGCTTCTTTGTTTAAATAAAATTTGCACTGCTAGTTTCTATGTGTGTCTGTGTCATTTATGTTCGATTAATATTACCATCTCCCCATCCACAAAAAAAATTAAGCTTAGAATGCATATATAGGCAGACCGTGAAGAAGTTCATTTTATTTATTTTCTTTCATTTGACCATGAAGAAGTTCTTTTCATTTATTTAATTTTTTATCATTTTTTTTTAATCGGAGGAAGTTTGTAAGTTGATGTTTGATCAAATTTCCTATTCTTGCCTAGCTTCCTAATTCATACCGCCTGTGATGAAAAATTACATAAATTTTCCCTGGACTTGGCTAGGTAACGGATTAAGGAAGACTATCTATCTGCCTAAGGAGGTGAATTTCTAAGGGTGGTTCGTATCCACGTAATAGAAAGGAAAACTCCCATGTAACCTATCTGGTTTCGGAAACGGAAAGTACCTGTGTTCGACTATCTTACTTACTCAAACTGTACGTGGAGGTTTTTGAAAACATCAACTCTGAGGAAACACAGATCGCCAAGGAAATTAGTTTGTTTATTTATGGTAAAGCACAAGATGACTATCTGCCTAAAGGAAGGGATGTCTTCATGGAGGACTTTCTAAGGGAAACTGGCTCAGATACACTTTACGCATGGAAGAAAACCAGTGCCCAGGCAACCAGACCATTCCTCGGGATTCGAACCCCGGACCGAACTACTAGTTCTCAACGACTTTACCACACGGTCGTTGTTGCGCCGAGGAAGATTTTGAAAGGCATGAAAATCATTCGTTTCTAACTATATGGGTACGATCAGTTTCTTGCTAGTAAAGTGCTTTGATAAACTTTTGGTTTAGGGGGGAAGTGGGTAGCTTGGCATTCTCCTGAAGCGAATGCATTTCTGAATTAAGAAAACTACCTATTTGGTTTTGTCTTTGACCTGGCCTTTTAACCTGGTTTCGATCGTCCGTTATTGTTGATTGTCATGCACGCGGCCTTTTCACGGCCCTACTAAAGTTTCTTATACACCTCTTTACTATTAAAAACATACTTTTATGTTTACTATTAACCTCTTTACTCTTAAAAATTTTACTATTATACCTCTTTACTATTAAAAACATATGTTCATCACATGTTTTCTCCTGAAGTAAAACTGATGATGAATCCTTACTGGTGTCACTTTTTTTTAAAGATCCGACTAACAAGTGTCTGGAGCTACCAATGTACTTGTAAAGTACTGTTTTCCTGTTCTCGGTGATTTAATCGATAAACTAAATGAGGCTTTTCATGAAGTGTAACATGAATACGAGGCAGTTTCTCTTAAAAGTCTTTCTTGTAAATAACCTTATTGGTCAGCAGACAATGTTAGTGTATTGCGCTATAATTAAGTAATTTAAGTAATTTCATATTTAAAATTAATTTATACTATCTCTTTCAAGACATTTTTTTTTTTTTTTTTTTTTTTTTTGTTTTTTTTTTTGTTTGTTGTTTGTTTGTTTAAAAGTTTCAGGGTGTTGGAGAATTCTGTCTTGCGCTTCTTCTGTTTTCTGTAATATCCGTTTATTATAAGTTGTTTGCTTTTAAAAGTGTGCTATTTCTGACATATGGCTTCCTTCTAAATACGTTGTTACAAGTCGCATTCTTATTTAAAATTTTTCACTCCTTAAAGTGAACAGAATATGCCTGCAATACCAGTACTAATTTCGTTTAAAGCAGAATATCTTCAATATATTTTCCTCTTACTTGTGGGCCCACCAGCGGCCGAGCGGTAAAGTCGCTGAACACTGGTAGTTCGGTCCGAAGTTCGAATATCGCGAACCGCCTGGCTGCATGGGCGGTTTCGTAGTATATACGAGCCAGTTCCCCTTAGAAAGTCCTCCACGAAAGCATCCATCCACTTAAGCAGATAGCTTTAGTGTGCTTTGCTATAATTCAGTAAACCAAACCAAACCTCTTACTTGTATTTATATTTTGCTTACTTTTTACGATGCTATCAAATTAATTTTTCACATGCGATCATCATTTTATTTTCCTATAATATCAATTTTGAGCTCAAAAAATTGGAATACGGCTTTTTAAAATTATTTATTTTTGAACGCAGGATCAATTCACAAATGCAGAGTTATCATTGGAAATCAAATTTTATTCTTACACATATGACGTACCCAATTAAGTAATTACAAATAACTCAATGTTGTTACTTATGTTCACTTGTCTGACCGCAACATCAGCTCAAGCCTACGAAATACCTCGTGACAAGGAGCGTTAGTTTACGCCTCTCGTTGGCAAAAGTCTCGAGCACCTTGCAGGTGACAGTGCGAATTTGCTCAGTTCCGCCGTAATTTTGATGGAGAGCACTCGGGGGGACGGGTCCGAGGGTCTTCCATCCCTCTCCCCTTCCACCAAACCACACGAGAAGACCTCCGGCTCGCCGCATATTTAGAATGCCGCACCGACACTCCGGGATCCGAACCCGGGCCCTTCGGCGCAGCAGTCAGCGACGCTATCCCCTATACCGGTTGGGCGGCACTCGTTTAATAAATAATTCAATAAATTAGATATTTGGATCATTCTTTAATGTATGTAAAAACAATCACTAGAAATTTTTAGTTATTTTTGGTACAATCCGATTATTATTCCTTTCCTCATTGCACTTTCTTATCAATGACTATTTATCTTAAAAGATCAAGATACTTACTGAATTTCATTTTCAACAATAACATCACCATATGTGTAACGAAATACAGATAATTCAATAATGATAATTTTGGAAAGTAAATTTATTCCCACAAAGCAGGTGATAAACGCATTCGTAATCTTATATTATTAATTTATTATAGTAGTTTTAAAAGATTTGAAGAGATAAAAACTTAGGATATATATGCCTGAAACTTTGATTTCATTTAAATAATCAAGGGTAGCCAAAAATATGTGTCAACATATAACAATTGGAAAGGAGGAGATAAGAGATAATCATGTTCTCTTTTCATTATTCATAGCGCATTGAATTCAGGGTACCACATTCAACGGTCACAGATAACAAACCTTTTGTTTTAGTGCTTATGTGGTGATCTGTTATCTTCTTCGAGAATACATTCAGAGTGAGAGCTCGTTTTTTTCAATCGTCTTCCAAAATGCAGTTGTCCCTTCGTTTGTAGGCGGTTAGGGATAGATAGCTCCTGAGCATTTAAAATGAAAATGCAGCTTCGGTTGTTCCTGTCTATTTATCTGTTATCGCTTTTGGGATGGCATGTTCTAGCCCAAGGTGAGTGCAATTGTGTTTTCATCCTTTTAACAAAACATTTGTATATTGCACAGCAGTTCTAGAATAGCGGTGTTTGGGTTTTGATAACCAGGATCCATAATGTAAGAGATGCCTTCATCTGGGATAATTTGCTTCTTCCTTCAGAAAAAAGAAAATACTAATGTTTTATCCTGATTATAAACATTACTTCTGGGACCCTTTCGTGTACCAGACTCATAACATCAGTTAAGAAAAAAGCAAGGCCAGATAAAAATCCCAGAAGAGTTTCTATCTAAAACATCAGCAATAAATTCGATTGTATGAAATTAATTTGTTAAGGCAAAAGTACATGAGGATTATCTCATCCCTCTTCCGTTACATCAAACTCTTAACACTAATTTCTAGTACCGCCGAGTTTTAAATACCCACATTCAAAACCTTTGCTCTCATTAGTTTCTCTCCTCAGGGATTTGAAAATAGCTTCATAACATATGTAGAGCTTCTGCTCACGACTAAACTATTCGCTATGTAGCGGTAGAAAAGTTGTGGTAACGTTTAAAATTCTTGTCGATAGGATCACTGAACACTAGTAGTTTGGTTCGGGTTTCGAAATCTGGAGAATGAGTTAGCTGCATGGGCGTTTTCGTAATTTTTCTGATGTGTAATGTGTATACGATCCGGGTTTCATTAGAAAATCCTCCATTCCCTTCATTTAAGAAGGTAGTCCTTGAGTGCTTTGCCATAATTAAATAAACCAAACTTGTCGGTGTAACCTGTGACGGTGCTGGTAGTAACAGCGGAACTAGTTCGTAACGGTAGAATTGGCTGGATTGGATTAATGTTTGCAAGGGTTTGTAATGTTACATTACTATGAATGTCATTTTCTGAAAAAAACTCCTGCGACATAGTATCGCCTCTAAAGTTTAATAGCTTTTGAATGCTTTACGTTAGATTCGTTAGATTAAATAATTCAGGCAGAACTTATTTGAAAAGAGGCAATTACATGGATTTTTTCTAGTCTTTCTTAAAGTATTCATATATAAAATGACTTTTATTCTTTAAATCGTGTAAAACAAGATAAATCAGCAGTGTGAAGGAGAGAATGATCATTGGGAAAATGTTTTTTTTTTTTTTAATAAAAGGAAATAAAGAAGCAAATAGCACTGCAAATTAAAATCTGACAACACGTATACACTTTCCTATTCGAGAGAAATAATTAAGACTAGACAAAAAAATTATAAAGCAACAGCACATGAAACTGTTAAGTCGATCTAGGACGGATGTTACCTTGGAAGTGTACTGTTTATTCCTGAAGTGATGAAAACGGGTGTGTATTACGAATATTAAAATTTTCATGGCGTTTCCAAAGTTCGCAAACTTTATACAATAATAATGTTATGTAGCTAAAATATTTTAATTCCGTGAATTCAAAATAAAAGTACTGCCTTATATTTCAGTAAATTTAAAGAACTAAAGTAAAAGCAAAATAAAGGATTACATAGATACAATATTATGATAACGAACAATAAAAATGCTGATATTTGACAAATCGGAAACAGTAGCATAAAAAAAGAAAGGGAGGTATAATCTTCTTTTCAGTCAAATTTTAAGCAAAATAGGAAAACAAGATAGAGGGTTTTTTTTTTTTTTTTTTTTTTTTTAATCTGGCGATTAGAATACCTAAACTAAGTTCAAGTTTGATAGTGTAATATTACATGATTCTCAGTTTCTTGCATTGCTTACTAAAAGCTAGCGCAAAGGTAAATATTTGACTAATTAAGTTATTAAATGTATAACTTTGCAATATTTCCATAACAAATATTTGGATAATTTAATGTTAGAAGACTATAAATTAATGTATTGTTACGAATTCTGTGCATAAGATGGATAATTTTATGGAAATTACATGTGAAATTGTTTTTTTTTTTCTATATAAGGCAATATGAAAATCTATATGCCGGAAAAACAAAGTTACAGGCGCAAGTGTATTTAACATTGGTTAAATGGCTATCTCGCTGAATTGGCGAGATATCGCCAAACTCGCAAAGTTTTTCGCGACTAATTTTTGTCAAATTTGGCGTAAAATCACCAAAGGTTGCCAAACTTGACGACTATTTGGCGATATTTGTGTTCGGTCCCTGTATCATAGGTACTATGTATTGTAATTGAAAAACTGTAATTGATCACTACATTAGCTGTAACCGCATCTGGGTCTCCTATGCCTTCCAGTTATTTCGAGAAACAAAAAGTACTTGAAATATCTCGGTAACCAGGTATGAAGTAGTATATAAGACCGGAAAGAGCATCAGTTCTCAGTTGTAGTTTTTGTTGTGAGTATTGAGTTCGGTGAGTAAGTCTGAGTTTTGTGTATTGAGACATCTCCGGGTTAGCTTACTCTTTAGATGAACTTGGCATTGCTTTGTGTTTAACGTTCTCAGTAGTTTGAAGTGCAACTACTGATTGTACTCTGTGACACTGTGAAGAACTATGCCAGTATTTCTGTGGAAAAATGCAGGACTCTGGAATGCTTTTTTTTAATCTAAATTTTATCAACCTCTCGTCGGACCTCTGTGCATTTAATCTATTACGAACCCATTAGCTCGCAACAGTACGAATAAACTCATGTATATTTTTTAACAACTGAATATCAAAAATTCATTAATTTCCCTCTTCGCGTACCTTTAAAAGAAGAAAAGGTTTTCGATAACAGAGTCGTGAAACATGGGCCCACCAGCGGCCGAGCGGTAAAGTCGCTGAACACTGGTAGTTCGGTCCGAGGTTCGAATCCCGGGAACGGGCTGGCTGAATGGGCGTTTTCGTGGTTTTCTCCATGTGTAACGTATATACGAGTCAGTTTCCCTTAGAAAGTCCTCCACGAAGGCATCCCTCCTCTTAGGCAGATAGCCCTCGAGGCTTTGCCATAATCACACACACACACGTGAAACATGTTTATTCTTATATTGCATTTGTATACGTAATTAATTTCACACTCTTGGATTTAATTCTGTGTATCTATCATTGAAAATATTTATATATTTTCTAAATGTGTGTTAATAATTATTTTCAGTGTCATAAGTTAAATAACTAAAATTTTACTAATTATTAATTGGCACTACAAATGGAAGTATAAAATTTGGGTCCAACTAGTATAAAGCAGTGTTTTTCAAATTATAGATCATTACACAATTTTTGATGCATGACAGAAAAATTTTCTAGCTTTATCTTTTATTATATAACTAGCCGCTAGCTTTCGTCTGGCTTTTAAATGTACCGGAATAATGCCTAAAAGAAACACCAAACATAAAATTTAAAAACTGCGCAGAATATTACTCTGCAGAACAACTTTATCAAAAAACAAAATGCAAGAAAAATGTGTTGCATATAAAAAACACTACAATGAAATAAGAAGTATTCCTTAGTACAAATATTAATTATCCTAATAAATAAATTAATCGACCTCCCGTTGCCTTCTCTCGACAAACGTCTAGTATCCTAAAGAAATATAAAATTTAAAACTGCACATAATTATCGCCCTCGTTTTTCCGAATGGCAACAATGTTGATATCAGCAACAATGATATATCAGCAATAATGGCTGTGTGCCATTGTTGCTGATATAATCAGAGAGAATTATCCATATCACCAAAAAATAAATAAATAAATAAATAAAAAATCTGAAATGTTTCAGATTTTAAATTACGTCCAAAGAGGCGTTTTTTAACATTTTGTGTGTTACCTTTCTTTATTAAATATCATGTTCCTCGCACTTAAACCATAAGATCCAGTGCAACAGCAATATCGCAAAATAGTTTTAAAACGAGCATATCTTTAGAATTTCCGATACAGAGACTCACGCGCTGGAGATAAAAATGTTTTTTCTGCACAACGTTGCCATTGCTCGCTTTGAAATCCTTGAGTTTGTTAATCAAAAATTCGTCAAAGTTTTAAAAAAATAGGAAATCGATCATAAAACAAATTTCAAATTTGGTCTTCCACATGCTCATATTCGTTGGAGGATTACGTTATTCAAAATTCGATGACTCTATGTACCGTTGTTTTATCACAATACGAGAAATATACATACATTTATGCAGATTTTCATTATTTAATTTCTTCAAATATAATGCAGGACTCTAATATTTGGTGGCAACAGTTTGAAAAGTGAACCGACATTTATCCGTCCGACGCAAAATGCCAAAACGAAACTAATAGTCTTCGGGATTCAAATCCTTTGACTAATAAAACTCATTCCAATTTTGAACAATTAGACACTGGATCGATTAGATCTCCCCTATTGCTAATTCATAGCCCTGGGTCTGTTCGCTTACGAGCCCACGACGAAAGCCCACAAACAGACTCTCTGTTTATTATAGGTAGGATTAACTATTGTTGCGCGTCGGGTTCGTACGAATGAATGCACAAGTCTGATGAAAAAGAACAAAATGTATATACACACAAAAAGTCCTCAGATATTCTTTGAGTATTACAATATCGCACGTAGTTTTTAACTATCAAAGTTCAACAGAAGTTATTCAAAACGCTAAACAAGAAAGCAATCGCGAATTCGCTACAGTCAAAAGAGCAGTTTCTAAAAAACTCTTAAAACAAAGAAGGAAACTAACTAAAAACAAAACTGATGCAAATGTGAGGTTTTCCTCCTTTTAAAGATTTTTAAATCGCTCGGCGCGAACTTTCTGGAATTTCTCGAAATAAAAAAAGAAGATATTTATTATGTTAATGCACGCGCTCTTGTTTTTCAATTTTCCGGCTTAGCTTTCTTTTAATACTCGTCACGCACTGAACTGCGCGGGAAATAAAACCATTTAATTTACAATTCGACTAACATTAGCTATTTAAATAACAAATCCGTAATAATATTTACTTAAAATCATCGGTTAATTATTATGAATTACAAGCAGTTATATATTATCAGTCCATTACTATTAATTTTATTGTAGATCTCTTTTCTGTCTGTTTGGTTTAATAGCAATTATATGCTTGTGAATCGTAGTAAGTTGCAATTATACATATATGGTCAGAAAATGAAAATTTTGGGAAATACTGTTATAACGTATTCACGAGTTTTTGAAATTAATCTTTTTAATTAATCAATGTAACCAATTGTGAACATCTATCAAATTTTTTAACTGTTTATTTTCAGAATAATGCATTAATGTTAACGCCAATTCTCTAAGTACCTTGTTTAATGGTTTTAATAGCGATTTGGAAAGAAATTTTTAAAATGTTAGGTTAATCTGAAAGCAATGCTGCATTTTGGCTTATAAGAATTCGAATTTAATTCTGAAATCTAAATTTTTATAGATTACTGTCATATTGACGTCACCCTTTTCGGTTGCCAACTACATAAAGTTAATATTTATTTAATTGTACTCCAATGTAAATGATATAATTGAACCGTATTATAAGCTAATATAGCCCATTGTTACTCTATGTGTTTTGTTAATTCGCCAGTGCGAATATGCTGTTGCGTTCGTTAATGGATTGAATGCATAAAGAACCGATAATAGTTTGATAAAATTTATTTTTCCTAAAGAACAGTTTACAGTTCGGGAACTTTTCACAAAAGTACTCGTATAGCACTTCTCGGTATGACAAAGTACAAATAGCAGGTACCACTTCAAACTAGTACTAAGAACGTTAAGCCCAAAACAATATACAAAGCTTCAGTGCGTAAGTTCGCAGAGTGATCCTCTCAATATTCTTAACTAATCCCTAAACTCAAATCTGAACTGAAGTAGAGTGACATTTTCTCTGGTCTTATATAGCATTCCTCTGTCTGTTGAGAAATTTCCAATATCTTCGATTTGTCGAAATTGCTGAAATTGCAAATACTGCCGATGCGAAATAACAATAATATGCAATGAACTGTATGAAACTGCTTTTTTTTTATTCTCAAGCGATAAAATACGTTACGAATAACAGCGGAAAATAAATCATCTACTCTCGTCGGGAAAGCGCGAGCAGTCACGTGATAAAATAAAAATAAACTGCGCTCGTAATAACATCGTGATTAACCATTATATATGGTCGGACACAGTTGCAGTTATGCAAGGACCAGAACAGAATGTCGCCAACGGCTCGCCAAGTTTGGCGAGTTTTAGTGATTTCTGGCAATATTTGGCGACAAAGATTAATCGCCGAAACCATCGCTGACTTGGCGTTATCTCGCCAATAGCCTCATGTTAAATGGATTTACCCCTGTAAACTTATTTTTCTTTTCATGTTGCATTATATGAATGATACTACAATTTATGTTTAATTTCACTAAATTATTTACATATGTACAAAATTCATAATAATTTTTAGTAAATTAATGCTTAAATAATAAATAATTAAATAGCTTTTCATTATATGTAAAGAATCTTTAAGATTTAAATTTAGGATTCTTTTATTTTTATCCGGCGTTAATTCTTGTACTAGCTACTGCATTGTAGCTAAGAAGTAATGCTTTAGTAAAAAGTAATTAAAAACTCCTACGAGGATTTTAGGTAAATAATAAAACGAAAATTTCTAAATTTCTGAACATTCTTCTCTGCAGTATTGAAGTATTTAATCAGGCAAAGTAATGCAGAACTATTTTTCTAAAAGAAATCATTCTTGTGTGGGAAACATTCTAAATGAAATTTGCTCGTATTTGTTTACACATGAGGAGGGAACGCTTAAGCCCATTTGTTGGTCCGTGCAGCTGCAAACATATAATCAGTCACTCACCGACTTATGATCACTCTGTTTATTATAATCCTGATATTCTATCAATATATAAGAGAAAAAAGTAACCTTTATAAATGTAGCTAGATTAGGCTTATCCGCACACTTCTCTAACTGTTGTTAAATAAAATGGCTTTTAGAATTATGATTCCTTTTTATTTATTTATTATCTTCTATACAAGTATTATCTAGTATTATTATCTTCTAAACAATACTACATAAAAAAAACTGCCGATTGTTAAGGCAACTCGTAAATAGTCGTTAAGCTTCTAGAGTGATAGGTACTTCTGATTGCATTTGCATCAATGTTTTTGCAAAGTAAAAATTTAAAAACTTTCTGTGGGGAAGAAAACAATGTTTTCATGTTTCCTGATTAAACTTATGGACCACCTAAAGTGCACAAGCGCACAAATTCCTGACCAACGAAAAGAAATACTTATTCGCTAGGAAGTATCTAGTCGCTGTTGCAAGAAAAGAGACAAAGAAAAGAATCTCTAATAGTGATATTCTTGACACCTGGCCGACTGGGGTTGTGTGTTTCATAGATCTGTTCATGTAGTATAAAATACCTGAGAAGCATATGTTGCACATTTACAAAGGATGCTCCAGGAACTGAGCTCTAGTTGAATTTCTGAAACTTATAGGGAAAGCTATCGGCCACAGACAAGTCTTGACATATTTATGCAGCTATTCCGTCCAATAATGTTTAGTGAGATTCAATATTTTTGACTTATATAGGCGCACGTTTGTATCACTGATTTTATAACCATTGAAAATATGAAGAGCAATAATTTCTTATTTTTTTGCGGGGGTAGGATATGAAAACTTCAGAACTTATTCAACGTTTGCAAAAAAGTATTCTGTTCCTGTATCTGTCCCTACATTTGGAGAAAAAAAAAAAAACTTTACGGGGTGTTCGATTTCAGAGATTAACCATGCCACAAATAGATGGATTAAGGAGACATAGAAAAACCTTTTGAGGATCGCTTAAAATAATTGGCTTTTCTTTGGGTAAACACATTTAATTAAATGAGGATTATATTGAAAAACTGCATTGTAATATTTATGAAAACTAACAACGTAAAAAAAATTATACCTGACTTTCTAGAACTTTTGAAATATCCGCCGTATATTACAAACATTACCATAATTAATAGTATACCATACTATACCGTTACTATATTACTTTCGGACTTAAGCAGGTGGGACATTTACATCGCTGCCTGGATTATACTGTAGAAAATTTTTTTAAGATTTTTCCATTAGGATTTTTTTATCCTGAAAGACATGAAAAATGAGTGACGGCTTTGCCGGGAATCGAACTACGGGCCTCTGGAATATGCGTCCAGCGCGCTAACCACTACATTATGAAGACATGCTAAGAAGGCGGGAGAAATACCTTATATACTCTCCCTTTTTAAAAGGCGACTGGGGTTTTAGGGGACCCAATCGCCAAATTCTGGGGTGGGGAGAATCATCATCCACTACTCTTTTAGTTCGGGCGCCACTGTAGAGACATTAGGTATTTTTTGAAAGCAGGAGAAATGAAAAACGAGCAACGCTTGATTCGAACCACGGGATTCTCGATTACGCGTCGAACGTGCTGACCATTACACTACGTAGGCATGCTAGGAAAGCGGGAGGAATATCTTATAATATTACATTAAACATTGTATGCACGCAGTGGCTGTAACAGGAATACATTGCACTGTTGCTTAATTAATATGTTAGGCAGCTTGGCTGATGGGGCATAGCATTTAACTGAGTGCGAAATGATGGCATCTTCATGACACCTGGCCATTCGTTGCTTAGAAATACATAAACTGAGCACTTTGCACTACTTGGAACTGCTCTAAGTCCTGCTTCATGCTGTTAGGTGCGGCGGCGTTTATTGCTTTCTTGTGGAGTTGCATGTACAAATATTTGATCTGTATTTAATTCCTTTATCTCGGACTCGAATCTCGGACCTCTCGATTACGTGCTCAGCGTGTTAATCATTATCCCATCAAGGCATGCACAAACCAGGAAGAAAATACCTTATATACTCCCCTTTTAAAGGGCGACTGGGGATTAAGGAATCCAATCGCCAAGTTCTGATGATGGAGAATCATCATGGCTTATTTTTTAGTTCAGGCGGCACTGTAGAGACATTAGGTTATTTCGAATAAGGATATGTGAAAAAAGAGCAGTGCCCTCACCGGGATTCGAACCATGGACCTCTCAATAAGCGCCGAGTGTGATGACCATTACACCGCGAAGGTATGCTAAAAGGGGGCAAAATACCTTATAACTGCAGCACTCCTTTTTGGCGGCTAATTTTCGTTGCATAGCTCTTGAATTCTGACAGCTAGGAAGTCAAATAACCTTTGCTATTTTATTAAGTGCTTATTTTTGAGTGCATATCTTAGGAAAGAGAATAAATCCCTTTTGAATTTGGCTTCTTTAGATGTTGTTAGTCTGTTAACGGACATGAAGAAAGATTATGTTCAAGGTGACCCCTTTCTTCACATGCGCACAGGAATCTGTTGAAGAGAGATTCCTTGCACGCGAAGTAGAAGTACGCGAGACAGACGCTGTGCGCTTTAATAAACCACATGATTTGCCTGATAACATGAATCCCAGAGGAGTTAACTCTGGGAAAGACGTTGCGGACTCTTACTTGCTTTCCTATACAATGATTTCATAATTTCCTGGCTTTCTCACAAATGAGTGGGAAAGAGTTGAAGAGCTGTTTTCATTCAGCTTGAAAGATGGTAGGATACAGCATCCAGTGGATAAATGAAGGCATAGATACAATATCTCATATTTTGAAGGATGTTATACTTTCCTTTTTACTTAATGGCTACATGCCGTACATGAATTTCCCTTAGGCGCTAACGTGCACCGCCGCAGTTTCAAGGAGAATAAATTTTAATTAAGACTGTCGTATGTTTTTTATCCGCCAGTCATAATTTTTTATTGCTACTGTACCAACTCAGGTACGACATCTTTCGTGACCGCACAGTTATAAATTGTCATCAGCTGTATTTGCATACGGCATATAATTTTGCTTGAGACTTGCGTTTTTAAAAAGGCACCTTAAATTAAATGTATTAATATTAATTAAGAAATTTATTTTTTCTAAACAGGTCCCCCGGCTGTGACTGGAAGTTACAAAGCTTCAGGAGAGATAGTAAACAAGCTTGAAGATGACTCAGGCATCACTCTTCAGATTGCTTTCGACGAAAGTTACGATGCAGAATCAAACAATGCTGTCTTCCTCTTGTGGGTTATGGGGAAAAATGTATCTTTCTTTGAAAACTTCAAGACTAATCAAACATTTCGATATAGCGATGCTAAAAGTAAGGGAAAAAACATTAGATCTTTTTTATCTCTCTATTAAAAACGAATCTCGAACGATATTAACACGTAGTAAAGTGAACATAAGAATAACAAATAAACTACAATATGAAATTATGCATAAAACTTACTTTTTACTTTTTTTACTTCAGAGGCATTCTCGGTGTTTTCTAAGTATGTGATTAAATCGTTTCAACAAATGAACCTTTTATACTTACTGGCTTCAGTTAAAATATTTCTTTGAATGCATTTTTCTATTATGAATTAAATTTTATTAGCTTATTTATTATACGACGGATATGTTGAACTGAAATTAATAATTAGAAGGTGGATGTGTTAGTTTATGCCAGTGATCAAAGATCCATCATTATTGATAGTTACATCAGTTGAATAACAAGTTGAAAATTCCTTGTTAAAATTCCCAAAAGTTTCATGAAAGCTTTTTTGTTGGTTATTAAAAAAAGTCTGTTGAGGCTTGAAATATGTTCCACTAGTTCCAGTCACTAGTCCACTAGTTCCATAATATATTAGACTCAAAAATAAAACTGTAAATTTATACATGCATAATAAAATTCAAAAATAATACATGTAGCAGTATCTTGGATTTGCATATTTGTTTAATATAGTTCTTGTACCTGTTCTGTTGCAAACTTGCTTAATTTAGTTCTTGTAGCTATTTTGTTATTTAAATATTCAAAAATCTCTGTTAAGTATGTCACCTCAAATGAGTAATTAAAATTTAATAATTATGATCATTTAATTAAAATTTATTTTACTTCAGTTCATTCTGTCAGTTTAAGATGTCCTTAAAATAGTTTCCTAAAAGATGATTAAATAAGTTAAGGACTCTGAGCGCAATAAAAGCTACTTATATGCTTGCAGTCCTTATATGTGTAAAATCAATGAACATCTGAGACAAACCATTAGTACGGTATATTTTAATAAAGTGTTTAATCCAAGTTTATAGTTTTCAGTAGCTCATTGAAAGCGCTTTTTAACTGTTTCTGCGCATTTTTCTTAGCTGCAGTTGCTTTTGTCCGACACTGCAGTACTTTTTGTGCATATCTAAAGAAACTGAACTTACAGTTGTTATATAGAAAAAAATTATCACGGCCCCATTGTTATGTCTGAAAAAATTTATGTTTTTAATACTTTTAACTTTAAATTTTGACTGATGGTGCCGGACAAAAAATAACAAAAAAAAAAAAAAAAAAAAAAAAAAAAAACATAATTCACATTCATAATATTCATCATTCAAAATCTAATTCATAATATTCATATATCATTTCGACATTCTTATAAATATTCGTATAGTAAATCTATCAATCAATCATATATCATATCTATCAATCAATCGTATATCATATCTATCAATCAATCGTATAGTGGTAGTGCAGTACAATTTACTTTTAGGTTTGCGTTGTGAGTAACCTATGTAAAGAGAAAATCAATAACTCCAAATTCAATTAAACTCCATGTTTCTTAAAAGCCTCCCGGCTCAAACAAATGGAGGGACATGACAGACCACAGTAAATTATACGCTACATAAATACACAAATGCAATTAAATTTTAGACACACATTTATTAAATTATTTTATATAATTAAATAATGGATAATTGATCAGTAATACATATTTTTCTAAGCAAGATAACACACAATACTACACCAAATTACAGCTTATATTAATTAAGATTAACATTATTTTTTTTTCAAATTAATTAGGTGTAACAAAATTTAATCCTCCAAATAACAGGTTCTTATTAATTAGAAAATAACGTTTTTCTAGCTCACAAAATTCAGTAGGTGAAACAAATTTTAATCCTCCCAAAACTGGCCTTCACTTGAAATTATAAATAACTTCTCAATTTTTAAACTGTAATATTTAATTTATATAAGCAATAACAATATACGGATAGATAAATCATTATTAACTGTTCTGCATTCGGGAAAACTAAGAGAGAGAGACAGAGAAAATATACTTAAAATTTCACTCACAGATGGAAAACAGTTTTTCCTGATTAGCAGGATCCTTAGTGTCCAATCCACATGGAAATAAGCCAAGCCCATTTTTCTTGGAAATTACAGTCTAATAATTCTTCAAACAGCCAGGCATCGCTTTAACTGTCCATTAGGTGGGAAACAATAGTCCAATTTAGAAGGATCTTTTATCTGTCCATTAGGTGGGAACCAATAGTCCATTTTAGAAGGATCTTTTTTCAATTCAATAACAGGTAGCTGAATATACACCAGTTTTTAGCACAATCACGTGCATCATCGAAGCGGCGAGGCAACATTTTATGCTGAATGTTTCGGAAAAGGGCCCTTGGAGATTAACCGGCGATTCAGGTGAAGCGAGAAAATCTGTGCTAAATTTTCTTGGTAGATTTTTTTTTCTATACATCTCAATCAGCTCTCAGTAAAAATGCTCTTTACAGCTCGCGCACATTTCTTTATACATCACGCAGGAAAATAATGTTCCTTGCATTTGCTCAGAAAGCCCGCAGCAGAGCAAAGCGCCCCACGATCTTTCTTTCTCTTTCACATCGCGGCTGCCCAAAATTCACTCAAATCCGACTCCGCTACAACCATCACCGCAGCCCTCTTGTACAAGTCGTTCGCTCCGCAAAGGGGGGAGCCCCGGCAAAACTTTCTGCTTCTCCTTTTCCTTTTCGCTCAAAAATCTGAATCAGAATGATCTCTAGTCTGGTGCAAGCACCCAGGAAATCTCGGTTTCTCCGCCTCTGTGAGTCCATAGGCTTTCAAAAAAATCATAAAATTAAATCTTACCAATCCCGGAATTTTATGTTATCTAAATTGAGAAAATGACACACCCATGACGAATCAAACACCAGAAAATCTGACAATGAAATCCGAAAAACATCTGCACACATAACGTGAGAAAAAGAAGTAGACCCCCCAACTAACAAGCGAAACTAGCATTTACGAGTATCCAATTATCTAACTTAGTACACCTCCCACTGTCCTTGAAGTAAGAAAGACTGCAAACTTTAACAAAGCAACACGAAGACGATTTCCGTTTCCCACGCATTAGCTAGAGTTAAAAGGGGCGACACACGACTACCCAACTGCCTCCATTGTTGGAAAAGGCCATAAACCAGATGGCTCCCGCAACCGTTTCCCACCTTAGTTACAATTCCTACTCAAGAACAACAAGTTAAATAAAACCTTAAGAGCCTAAGAATACTTTTTTCCAGATTAAAATACACATGAATACAAATAAAAATATTAGAATAATAATAATTTAAAACACATATTAAAAATTGAAATTCGCGACGTAACATATTTCTATTAGAATAATAACTTGAAACACATATTAATAATTGAAATTCTCGACATAACACAGTCTCGCCTACATTGTTCAATATGTGTACTTATTATCTGCTATTCGTTATTTATGTGGGCATATAGTATAATCTAAACGAAGAGTAGCCAGACAGTAGCAGAATAGTCTTTTTCCTAAAACATTTTCATGATATTTCTGGGAAATGAAAATGCACAAACCACGCTGACTTTTGATATTTGCTTTTTTCCATATTGTTGAAGAGATTTGGACTTCTCATATTGGGCGTACCCACACAGAACCTTTCTGTACTATCTGCAAGAACAGAAAATTAAAAGATATTCAGATGTTCCAAATAAGCCTTCTTAAATTTCAACCCTATTAATGATGCTTCTCGTTATTCATAAGAAACTACTTTTTTATACATACTTTCAATACGAAGAAAATATGAGAGGACGTATTTTTATTCTATGATTTAAAACTTTTCTTGGAACACTTCTGGCCGATTAACACATTCATTTTCACGAATCTAACTGAAAAACTGTGTTATATACTGCGAGAATGCTCTATCGTGCAAAATAATCCGCAGATTTTTCATTTTCAAGAAAACGTCACCTATCTTTAAAAATAAAATATGCTTTAAAAATTTAAACTAATAAGAAATATGTTAAGTTTTTAAACAATATTTTGAAATTTAGGTAATAATGATCTAGCTGAATTTGTGGTTCTTGCAAGCTAGATTTCTTGTGAACTGTGCTGCGAAGTATCGCAGAGTTCACTAATGTAAATGAAAGTCGGGGAGGGGTTAAATTTACCTTTTATTCAACTCAAAAATTCTTTATAGATGGTCTCCCTCTTGAGCTTACAGAAGACCTCCGCTTGGCTTTAACGTAAGATAGAAAATAAAAAACTAATCTAATGCTAGCTAAACTAAAACCAGCCGAAGCTGCACAAAAATAACTAACAGAGTTAGCCCTTATTTAAAGCTCGCAGGCGAATATTAGCAGGCACATAACAATACAACTTAAAGCTTGTAAGATTATATAGCAAGATTAGGCTTAAGGCGGAACACGCTCTACTAAGAACTTCTAAACTCTTCTGCAAAAGTGATTGAGACTTCCATTTAAATACCAGTTTCTACTCATTTACATAAAACGCAATCCTGAAAACTCATTCTTGTAGGTATTCATAGGTGAGAAATAAGGAATTAAATGAAAACATGTTTAAAAATAAAAATACATATTTGGAAATTAAAATAAAGCCCCACAAGGGAACCACATAATAATTCCTGATCTGATTTTTATACTTTTATTTACCTATGTACAGTCCAATAAATTAAATATCAGAATCCTTTAAAATATGCTTAAAATACGCACAGATAGAAGATATTAATATACTTTTTGGTAATGCTACTACACATAATTAAATTTTCAGTGCAAGCTATTTTGAAATATATGCTTCTTTATTATAATTTGTTCAGAAGTTAACTACTAGAGAAACATTTTTACAGTAAACATTATTTATATATTTTTGTGTATGTATTTCATTATAATAAAAATATAAAATCACTATTCTTTGGCGCAAAATGAGATGCATTCAGATGACACCAGAAATCACGTGACTTATGAGAAGCTAATGTAAACAAACAAGGTTATTCTTCAAATTCCCTTGCAAAATGTATCTCGTTGAATAGCGTGTGAAATGTGAGTTGAAAATTGTGTGCAATGTGTGTAATACAATAAATGTATTGTTTCCGTTCGTAATTTTCAGTTTAATCAGAGTTGCTTTATGTTGTTCTATCGTAAAATCTTGATTCACTATATCCACCAAATTATTTTCAGCATGCCTTATTTGAAACCAAACATTTCCTGCTTTTAAATACACATGTATCCTACCCGTGTAGTTTTATAGGTTTTCCATTTAGATATAATTTAAAGTAAGCATAAACTTTCATTAAATAAAATTTAAATGTTTGTCATCTGTTTGAAAAGATATGTGATTATGAAAAATAGTAATCAAAGTTTTTCATTTTAGCCTGCCAACTGCAAACGGTGGACGAATGGATAAAAACAAAATCTCCGCCATCCTTGATGAATTACGAAGATACCAATGGCACTGTGAGGTTTTCTTTGAAGCAGCTCTTCTCACTCTCAGACAATTATCTCACAGAAAAAAATGTTCCTGACACATATCGTGGCATTCCTGCAAGAAAATGGATGTACGAAATCAAAGGACGGGAACAAGAAGGTGGAGGAAGAAGAGTGCTCAATGTGTACGCTTATTGGTCAGGTACAATAATTTCATGGATTAAGCTTAATCTCAGAGATTAAATTTAATAATAAATAATATTTTTAAATGCTGACCTAGAAACTGCATTAAGGTAGGCATGTTGATGATGCTTATGCTTTTTTTATTGGTGAAAATTGCTCTTTATAACAGGCAGTCGCGGATATTTTTACAGTCTCATTGGTTTTTGCATAATTCCTTGAATAAACGCAGAGATGGACGTCCTCGCTGTTCTACTGTTACATTTCACATTTAGTCGGAAAACGAGGAGAGAAAGACACGCGGCTGACAAAATACTGTGAAAACAGTAAAAAGAGTTATAATAGTACAATAATACTTTACAGAGGCTGTTCACACATTTTTAGACGATGTATATTGTATTCACAAAACTAAATTACATAAAATTGTGTTTTAAATGTTCTATTTGACATCCCTTATTCTGAACTAACTTTCGACACTGCAGTTTCCAGGATAATAATGCCTTTTCAAGTGCAGAAGAGGTATTCTATCCCATTACTCCCGAACAGTGTTAAATGTTCATCTAAAAGTGGCGTTTTCCGCTAGTGGGCGCCAGAGGTTTCATTAGTGAGAGAAATAAAAACCTTGTTTTTTTTAATTCTTTTTTGTAAACAGTAGATAGTTCGGTTTCGAATCAGTGTGATGGATGGATAAATTGTTTCGTACAGCCATAAGAGAAAAAGAGAGGCTGTACAAGAAAATGGACTTAAATCTGAATTTTTTCCTTTTGAATGTTTTATGTAAATAAAATGTGATGTCAAGAAATTCAATTGCGGTTTTCCTGTAAAGAAGATTGCTAGCTGAAACATCACGTCCGATTCAACGAAGCATCAGAAAAGGTAAATGTATTTAGTTCTTGTTTTTTAATCAGTCATAAACAGAACCTGCATACGTCAGTGGATTCTGACAACTTCGATCAACAGTAGTTGATTAATTACGTAATATAAGTTTTGGCGTCCGCCATCAGGACGTGTTGTCCTAAAGCAGAACTAGTTATTTATGCTTCCGAAAACGGAAGTACTTGAAATATGTTTATATTTTGAAGATGCATTTTGTTGAATGAAAGCATGCTAATATTTAAGTTGAATAGAAATAGATATTTAGTATTTTCAGCTGAAACTACTATATATTAGAAGTTTTATGCTCTTGATTAAAAGTAATTTTAACTTAAAAGAAATTCAGGTATATGAATCCAATTAAGGATTGAGGAAATAGGATTACTTTAAAATTTAAGATAAAATATTTGAGTGAAGTTTAAAGTAAAAATGAATGTTGATATGATAAAGAAAAAATGTGCAGCGGCACGCAGTGCTTTCACAGAACGGTTAAGGTTCTAAAGAACGAAATTAGTAAAAATGCTCAAGCAGATAAAGCTGTATTAAAAGATAAAATTGTGAAGTTACAAACGATAACTGGTGAGTTAAAATCTTATGATTCAGAGGTACTAGATTTATTAATTAAGGGCAGTGCCTCTGAAGATGATTTAGAAACCGAAGTTATAAGCTGTGAGGAATATTCTGATGAATTCATCACAATTGAATGAAAAGTTAGTGAATTACTAAATGTAAACAAAGTTCCAAATGACGTAGTTTTTAGTAATTCTGATGTCAGTAGTAACTCTAAAGTTAAACGGTATAAATTACCTAAATTGAATATAAAACCTTTTGATTCTCAGTTAATTAATTATTTGCCCTTTTGGGCACAGTTTAAGAAGATACATGAAGATAAAGAATTAGATGATTGTGAAGTTAAGTAAATAAGTTCCAATATTTGCTACAAGCTGTAGAACCTGGAACTCGTGCTAGGCATTTATTAGAAAGTTACCCGATAACTTCAGAAAATTATTCGAAAGCTTTGCGAGCTTTTCAAGAGCGTTATGGGGACAAAGATATTCTTATCGAAGTTTATGGTCAGGGAATTTTTGAAATTAATTACAGTAAATGTTCAAGCTAGGGGTAAAGACAGATTATCATTGTGTGACTTATTTACCAAGGTAGAAGCACATTTAAGGTCTTTAGAATCCATGGGGCTTGATATAGAAAGTAATTCAGCCTAGCTATACCCCATGATAGAATCCTGCTTACCTGATGATATTTTAAGAGCATGGCAGAGATGCAATATTAGGGTAAAGGAAGATTCTGATAGTGAAGTGAGTTTTCCAAAGTCGAGTTTAACGTTGTTAATGAACTTTTTGAAGCGGGATGTAGCGGGTGAAGAATACAGTTAGCTAGGTCAGGCTTTGAAAGTATTATCCCAAAAGGGAAGGTAAAAGAGAAAATACTGAAAAGGGATAGCAAGTACCCTACTGCAGCTGGTTTATTCGCTGCTAAAGAAATGTCGTGTTTGTTCTGTGGTAAGTCGCATGAAAGTAAGGAATGTGTAGTCGCCAGATCGTTCTCTCTGGAAGAAAAAATAAAGAAAGTCAGGGAAAAGAACTTTTGTCTGAAATGTTTACGCTTTGGCCACCGTGCCAAAATGTGTAAAGTTTTTGTACGCTGTCATGTCTGCTCTTAAAACCTCATACAGAGCTTTTTTTGTCCTGAAGATAGGACAAAACGAAAAGGCAATTAGTGATAAAAACCAAACCCCTAGCGAATATCCAGAACACACTTGCACAATCAGCATGGTATTCAAAAGGAAAGTAACCTCTCATGACACTAGAAATACTAATTAAGGCTAATAAGAAAATTGAAAAGGTTAGGGCACTATTGGGCAGTGGGTCCCAAGAGGAGTTATATTTTTAAAGAGCACCGCGAAAGAACTTGGTCTTCAAGCCTCTCGCTACAGCAACTATTACCCACACTGTATTTGGAGGTGCAGAAGACAGAAGCTAAACCTCATAGTAAATATCAAATTAAATTAAGTGCACCGGGGTAATGGTTCACAAATCAGTTCTCACAACCGAATTCCTTGACCAAGAAAAGATATGTGGGAAACATTCCACGCATTCCAAAGGAGTCTGTTCTAGAAGAGCTTAAGAAACATAGATTATGGATGTCAGATATTGGTACTGGATGTCCTGAAATATAAATTTTAATTGGCAGTGATGTTTATGGCCAACTCCTAACAGGAGCGAATCAAGCAGCTGAACAATGGTCTAACGGCAATTCAGACAAAATTTGGATGGACAATTTGCAGTTAGTTAGAGAATCCATCCGAAGGTTACGTGAGTAGTGGCACAACTGAAACGTTGATGACTAATTTATCTCTGAGAAGAACTTAGCATGTTCCAGATTTATGGCGGCTAGAAACAATAGGAGTTAATGATTCCGCTGAAACGTTGTCTAAGAAGGAAGAAGAAGAGCTAGCCCATGATTTGTTCCTCAAAGAACTTATGAGAAGTGAAGACGGGCGTTACCGTGTTGGTCTTCCATGGACTTGTATTAACCCAAACATTCCTTCAAATAAAATGAAAGCAGAAAGAAGGTTGTTTATCACTACAAGAAGACTGAAGAAGTTAAGTAAATTTGAAGATTATGACCTAGTCTTTAAAGAATGGCAGAAAAGAGAATGTCATACAGGAAGTCTCAAAAAAGGAACTAGAAGAAGTAGGAGGCCATTACTTGTGTCACCATCCAGTTACTAAGCCATAGAGTGCTACTACGTCTATCAGACCAGTTTTTGACGCCTCATGCAAAGTTGGAAGAGCACATCCCTAAATGACTGTCTCTTCAAAGGACCAAACTTGATAGAAGAAATTCCCGCTATATTATGGATTCTTTTTTTTTTTTTTTTTTTTTTTTTTTTTTTTTTTTTTTTTTTTTTTTTAGAGAAAAGGCTATTGCTGTTGTATCCAACATCAGAAGAGCCTTCCTCCAAATTGAAATTAAGGAAGAAGATCGGCGATTTTTGAGATTTTTATGGTGGGAGAAAGCAAATAAAATTAAAGTCTATCAACATAACAGAGTATTGCTTGGAGCTTACCTGTAGCCCTTTTTTACTCAGCGCGGTTATAAGATACCATTTGAACAAATATCCAAAACAACTCAAAACAGTTACTGACAAACTCTTGAAGTCCTTCTATATTGACAACTGCATAACCTCCGTAGACAGTACATCCGAATTAGAATTTATCTCAAAGTCAACTGAAATTATGACTGAAGCTAAGATGGATTTGAGATTATGGCAGTTCGGCCCGGTAGAAGAAATAGAAAAGTTGTCAACTGAGAACAGAAGCTTGTTTAAAGAAGATCTTACAACTCCAGTTTCGGTTTTTGGGGATTAATTTGGATAGAAAGGAGGATTGTTTAATGATCTGCAATAAATTTGATGCTGAAACAGAAAATCCTACTAAACGGAAGATCTTGTCTATAACACAAGGTATTTACGATCCCATCGGTTTTCTCATCCCAGCATTGTTGCCAGCCAAGCGAATGATTCAGGAGGCCTGGTCAGCTAAGTCAGAATGGGATTCCCCGCTTCCAGAGAAGATCCAAAAGGACTTTCATAAATGGTATAGTGAATTGAAACAATTATCTAACTTAAAGGTAAACAGACGCATAGGTTACGGAAAAAAAGAAAAATGGTTATACATGTTTTTTTGCGACGCGAGTCAGAATGCATATGCAACAGTAATTTTCCTGCGCTGTAACGATAATCATAGGATTTCGGTGCATAGCTTCTAGGAGCAGCATCTCGACTTGCGCCACAAAAACGACTTTGACAATCCCGCGTCTAGAACTTCTTGCTTGTGTTTTGGGAGCTAGATTAGCAAACTATATTCGTGAGGCTCTGGATGTCCCTACAATACCAGTTTATCACTGGACACCATAAATTAAAGGTGGGAGTATGTTAAATGTTCATCTAAAGTGGCGTTCTCCCGCTAGGGGGCGCCAGAGGTTTCATTAGTAAGAGAAATAAAAAACCTTGTTTTTTTAATTCTTTTTTGTAAACAGTAGATATTTCGGTTTCGAATCCGTGTGATGGACGGATAAATTGTTTCGTACAGCCATAAGAGAAAAAGAGAGGCTGTAAAAGAAAATGTA